GAACGAGTGACTGATGATTTTTTTATGTGCACTGTGCACATGATGAAGGGAGGGAGGAAGGAAAATGTGTACATCTGGGAGAAAGATGGACACAAAGGTATCCACCCGGGGGGAGTGTGAGAGATCGCTGCGCCTGTGTTTGGGCGAGTGGTCCGTCTGAGGGCGAGAGATGATTACTCAGGAAGTGTGTCGCTCTCATGGGTATGTGCGCATGTTTGATTTCAACTGGTGTGCGAGAGAAACTAGTGCACCCGAAGTAGGTTCACAAGCGGCGGCTCTTAGGAGGTGTTTGCTCAAATGCGTGTGTGCTCGCTGGGACGCCAAATAGGCAGGGATTCGTGTGTCTTTGCGTGGTGTCCTTAAGTGTCTGGGGGTGACCCCTTGATCTGCGATGTCCATTATTGCGCTGGCATGCTGAAGCAAAGAGAGCTGGGGGAAGGAGGAGAGGAAGAGGCAGAAATAGACAGAAAGAACTCCTAGGAGAAAAAGAAACATCAGTGACACTTACTGACACCACACAACACTGGGGGGGAAAGCACAGAGAGGAAATGCCATTGATCTAGGACATCAGAACATACGCAAATATTACAAGGCAGATAACTAGACACCAGCAGATACCAAACACAGTCCCCTGAGCTCATACCCACCGGTCGTGATCACACACACCCTTGCTCACCCGCACTCACACGCCCCGACACCTCCAAATGCCCTTGCTTGCTTTGCGGCCGTGCAGCAAAGAGCATAATAAAAGCAAACTTTTAAAGGAGATAGCCACAAATTGGATACTCTATGTGCAGAAAACAGGCACTGAGAGTTTAAAGTTCTTCCATTTTATAGAATGCAATGATTTTGTAATCTGGAATTGGGGGATGAATTTAGCCTTTCAGCATCTGTGTAAGAATGTTTAAAGCTGGGAAGCAGGACTTTAGGTTTCACCACCCCTCCCCAAGAAAAAAGTAGTTATCACACCGGATAGAACGCCTCCTGTATTTTAAAAAAGCTACCATTCTAATCTCAAAGAAACTGTTTTAAAAAATGTATACGCTTAACTGATTTTCATTTCTGCCAATCATTCTGCATATACATAAGTATGAGAAATTCCAGAAATTGACCTAACACGGGCATCGATTTTCTGCCATGCTCTGCTCAGAACATTACATTTCAATACAAATTAAATCAATATTAAATATATAAAAAATTGTCACACATAAACATGCTGAGTTCAAAATCCCCCCCCCAAATGCGCATGTGCAACTTTGCCTGGCAAACACTGCCTCCAAACACACCTGCATCCACTCAAAGACAGCACTCCATTGACACATATGCACATG